CTAACACAAAACGAGCTCCATGGTTTTTGTGTGTGAATTTTTTTGGCCTTTGTTAAGTGTGTGTGTTACTTGGTTTTTTGTTTGTCTTGATTTTGCTTTTTTTGTTTTTTGAAAGAGAGAAAGAATATGAAGTTGGGTGAGTTGGAGGTAGTGGGGATCTGGAAGAAGTTGAGAGAGAGGAGACAATATAATCAAAATATATTATATGAAAAATGTAATGAATTCTAAAAACAAGAATATAGATGGCTGATCAAATCCCCTCTCTTTGTCTTGTGAAATCTAACTACAAGTCTTCTGCTGTGGGACAATGCCCTTGTACACTGTAAAGATTTGCCACTCCTGCTGGTTTAATAAAACAACTGATTGGCCAGTAGACAGGCAGGAAGTATAGGCAGGACAACCAGACTAGAATTCTGGGAAGAGGAACGGCAGAGACACAGTCACTGGTCAGATACAGAGGGAACAAGATGAAAATGCCTCACTGAGAAAAGGTACCAAGCTACGTGACTAAACATAAACGATAATTATGGATTAATTTAAGTTGTAAGAGCTAGTTAATAATAATCCTAAGCTAATAGGCCAAACAGTGTATAATTAATGTAAGCCTCTGTGTGTTTCTTTGGAACTGAATGACTGCAGAACCAGGTGGGAGAGAAACTTCTGTCTACAGTGCCCATTTTGTTTGACTGTTAAACTTATAACTTGGTTTTGAACATTACAGACTATCCGCTGGAGACCAGGAGTAAATAGATGCAGAATGAATACCTCACTGGGACAGGTGGATTTTGTGTCCTTTTTTAGAGACAAAGGTCAAGGCCAACCCCATGTTCTTAGTGTTTAAATAGCCGCAGGCTCTTTTCTTTGCATTTTAGTCTTGGAAGTGTTCATGGATGTGTCTTCAAGCTGACTGGTTCTTACCACATTCGAGTCTGGCTCACTGATAAGTCCATCAAAGGCCTTCTTCATTTCTGTCACAGTGTTTTTGATTTCCATATTTCCTTATGATTCTTTCTTCCAGTTTCCACTTGTCTGCTATGGCAGAGTTATATTTGAAGGCTGGGTCCGGTCATTCTCAGGGTTCTGTCACGGGTGAGTCTGGTCCTGTGCTGGCCTAGTGTCTTCAGACCATGTATGTTGCATTTTGCCATGCCTTATAATTTCTTCAGAGAAAGCTGGGCCATTGACAGACACTGAAGCATCAAGGCCTTTGGTGTGAGGTCTGTGTTTACCCATACTTAAAGAGATGGCAGAAAGAGTACACAAGCCGGAGGATTCTGGGAAATGCTGTGGTCTTCTGGATGGTTGCCTTCACAAGGCCTGCACAAGATCGCACCAACAGGATCAGGCAGCAGCATTCCCCCAGCACTAATGGGACTCAATGGGTCACCAGCCCCCACCCAAAGACATGAAGGTGGAAGGGGACATGTCAAGGGGTGTCTGGGGAAGTGGAAAGGGGAACTGGGTTCCAATCTGATCAAGTTATATTATACACAGCTATGAAACTGTCAAAGAATTAATAAAAGATATTTTTTAAAAGCGGGACAATAAAAGTAAGAAACACTGACCTCTGGTTTGTACAGGCACAGAAATGGGCCTCCCCACCACACACACATACAATGAGTTTTGGATATTATTCACAACCCATCTATGTTCTGTTCTCATCAAGCCACATCTTAGGGCGTCTCCCCTTTAATTCACTCGACCCCCAGGTTCCAGACCCCCCAACTGCAAGCTTCAGCCCTATTGTCTTTTTATATTATTCTTGGGGGCCTGATTTTGATATCACACCCCCTCTTCCCCTGGGATGCCTTCTTTAACCCTTTACTTTGCAGGCAAAATTAACCGCTCCATCTTTTGTGTGTTGTTCATGAGGTTCTCATACGATAACGCACTTCAAACCTGACTACAGAGCAGCTGTATTGGAGTCCCCATCTCCTTTCAGGTCTGAGCTCTGAGAGCAGGGACCATACTGGCCTCTTCTACCCAGCTCCCTTTCCCCTCCAAGTTCAAGCAAACAGTATGAACCCAGTATTTACTATTTAAAGAATCGCTTTTCATTCAAGCCCACTCAGAGCTCTATACAATCCTGGAGGCCACTGCTGAGCTGATTAGGGAGTGGAACATTTTGTTATTGTTATCGTCACATCCTTCTGCAGTTTCTGTGATGGTCTTGTACCAGGGCATGGCCAGTGAACTTCTTAGTTAAGATGACTATCCACTCACTGCAGGCTGTAGATAGGCATACTGAACAATGAAAATGCCGAGACGGAGGGGTCCTTGGAGGAGGACCACAGGAGTCTTTCATTTTACACACCAGGAAGACTGGGAGGTTGATGGTCTCAGCCAAAGAGGATGAAGGGAGGAGCAGTACTCTCATCCCAGTCAGGAGCCCCTCATTAAATCAGAGCTTTGAAAATTCCGAAGCTGTGATTAAGACTGCAGTTGATTTAAATTAGTCTTTTTCTCAGGTAGTGGAATTAAGGAGCCGTAGTTGCTACTGAATTTGTTTCTGTTAGCTTTTGCAAGTTGTTTTAGAATACACTGACCCACTCAAGTTCAGGGGAAAACAGAGGCGAGGATGGTGTTTTACCGCCTGTTAGCCAAGGATTCTGGCAGCCCACACAGATGAAGCAGGGGTCCCTGAAGCTGGGATAGCAAGGTGAGACTCACAGTTCCCACCGTCCACTTGCCTGGCTTTAGGAACACCGTGGAAATACACCTCTGGGTATGTCTGCCAGGTTATTTCCGGAACGTTTTAGCCGAGGAGGGAAGACGTGAGTGTGGGCAGCATGGTTGGTCGCCTGGGCCGGTCAGGCAAGTCTGGACTAATACAAAGGAGACCGACAGAGGAGTATCAGCCTTCATCTAGCATAGGTCTCTCTCTGCCTCTGAGCGCAGATGCAACGTGACTGTTGTAAGCCAGCTGCCTCGGGTTTCCACTCCAGGCTGTTTCCAATTTGCTAAACTGTACACACACACACACACACACACACACACACACACACACACATGTGCCCGTGTTCACACAAACATGGACACACATGTAAAACAGAGTGAAGGAATGAGTCCATCAGTCAATGCAAACCTTCTGGGTATGGAATAGTTATACAAATAATTTCATGATGTTTTATGATAGAATAACCCTCTAAGGCACACAGGTTCGTGCCAATAGCTAAAGTGGCCAGGGGGTAGGGAAGAAATATCTTTTAGACAGCTAACTATAGAAATTCTTCCTTGCAAAGGGTTCAGTTTTAAAGCTGTCCTTAAGCAGGGCCTTTGGGGGTAATTTCCAGAGGCCTTAACTGAAGTTGCAGCTTCACACTGAAACCTTCTTTCTTGACGAATACAGCATTATAGCAGGTTCCAGGAGAAATGGGGGAAAGGCATGGAGGCTGTGAAAAGAACGAAGTGGTTCATCCAGAGCAAAGATTCCCTGAAGCTAAAACCCAACTGGCATCTCTTTCAAGTCCAGGATGGCCATCGTTGTAGACACGAGATTTTGAGTAATTCACTGAACCTCTCCCATCACCATTTTTATCCGAACAATGCAATATTAAGATATAGTTCCTTCATATCGCACTGAGTCCCCTGACACCCAAGTACAGGTGTGTACTTAATATTCCATAACAAGATATACCACTGTGGTGCTTAATATTCCATAACAAGAAGGCATTTTAAAAAATTAAAACATACCCAACAGTTTAGGAACATCTGCTGAGTGTCAGGGGTCGTTCTGAGTGCTTTGTATATGTTCCCCCTCACAGCACCGGTTCGTATAGGACAGCCCCCCCCCCCCGCATCTGTGGTTCCACACTTGCAGATTCAAGGACAATGGATTAAAAACGTTTGGAAGATAACTTGCATCTATAAGAAACATGAACAAATCTTTTCTCATTGTCCCTGGCGCAATACTGTATTATCAAATTTGTTTGCACAGCACTTATGTTGTATTAGAGATAATTCACAGATTCTCTCTCTCTCTCTCTCTCTCTCTCTCTCTCTCTCTGTGTGTGTGTGTGTGTGTGTGTGTGTGTGTGTGTGTGTGTGTGTGTTGTGCCTGTATGTGTTGAGCCAGCGGCTATATCTTTGCTTCACTCATGGAGGTCGAAGGCGGATGCTATCTGGTGTCCTGCTCCATTTCCCTCCACCGTATTCCTTTAAGGCAGGGCCTTTCAGTGAACTTGGAGCTAGACTGGTGATCATCAAGTCCTTCCTTTCTCTGATTCTGACACCCCTGGGATTGCAGACATGTGTGGCCTCCCCACTTTTTACATGGGTACATGGGAGGTTGAAACCAGTTCCTCGGGCTTCTTCAGCAAGTGGTGTTATTTGGTAAGCTATCTCTCTAGCCCCACAAACTACGGATGTTTTAAGGTATATGAGAGTAGGTCAGTTGATTACCAGTGGGTAAAGGAGCCTACCCCTAAGCCTGAGTACCTGAGCAGCCGAGTTTGATTCCCAGGACCCACTTGGTAGGAGAAAACTGGGTTCTCTGAGCTGTCCTCTGACTTTCCCAATCTTACTGCGATGCACCCTCACCCCCCACCCAAATACACAAAGTAAATAAAACAAAAAGTGAAGTCTATGAGAGAATGTGCCTAGAAAATGTGCAAATATTGCATATGCCATTTGCATAAGAGAGTTGAGCATCTGTGGATTTGGGGATCCACTGGTGTCGGGTAGCCGGTTCCCCACCCCCACTCTCTTGCTGCACACACGGATACGGCACCTCCCCCTTGCATTTCTCCAGCTTTCCTGGGCCTGCCTGACGCCTGGTAAAGCCATCCCAGTCCTCGGATCTCAGCTTCCAGGCTGCTAAGGTGGCTGTGGAAACGCGTCAGCCACCTTTGCACTTGGCTTTCTTTCTCCCATGGCGGTGGCACTGTGCACATAGTGGCTTGGCAGCCACACAGTGAAAAAAAAAGAAATCGAGCTAATCTTTAACTGTTTTTTTTTTTTCTCCTACTCTCCTCAAATGTGCTAGACAATGAGAACAGACCATGACCTCTTTGTGAAAACCTGAAGTGACACCATTCCCTGGCAGTCACCCGGAGGGTTGGACGTGAGCAGGGTTCTCCTGAGTTCTGTAGTATGTTGCCCAGTCCCCCTCAGGGTGCCTTCCTCTTTCTCTGGGTTGAATCTTTCTTGTGGAGGAACCTCTTCCTAAGCCATCCGTGCAAGGCTTGGTTGGAGCCCGTGTTCCCTCAGCCAACTCAGAGTCTGGACTAGAGCTTGTTCTGAGTATTCTTCTGTCCGTATTGATTGGATCAAAGGGAGATTCATCTGGAACCCAGCTGAAGTTCTTCCAGATGGTAAGTTTGCTTCCAGATGGTGTGTTTTAATAGGAGAGAGAGAAAAAAAAAAAAAAGAGAGAGAGAAAGAAAGGGGGGGGAAGAGAAGCTCCTGCACACCAGCCTCATGCTAAACAAGGCCCTGTGACCTCATTTCTCCCTTGCCTCTTCCGACTGCAGAATGAACCCAGGTGCTGTCGGTTTTCATGAAAATTCTTTCCCCCAATTTCGTCATGAAATTAGGAGGCTCTGGCTAGTTGGAGTGTTGTTTAAAACCAAATCCTAATCATCCTGGATCACATGCCAGCCCGTGGTGGCACGGTTCTTCCTCTTTTTGAGGTTGAGATGAGTTAAAATCCCCCCTGAAGCTCCAAGAGACGTTCAAGAGCCGTCTAGGAGTCAGCACTCAGGTGCTCAGGGTCAGCTGACCTTGAAATGGAGGTGGCTTTCGGCAAATCTGAGCTTCTCTTCCAGTGTCATAGATCTGAAAAGCACTCGGTGCCACCTACGACATAAATAGACCTGGCAAGCACCGCATTGCTGTGGGGTCCGAGAAGAAACAGAGTGGGCTACCTCTTGCAAGATGGGTGGACACTGGGTACGTGGCATGTGGACTCAGAGGCAAACTTCCCTACAAACACAAACTTCCCTACTACGTACTTCCTCTACGTTACCTTTGCAAATGCCCTCTGGCCTAGACTTCTCAATACACGCCTTTGTGTGCTCTAGACTTTTCTGTTTGCTCAACAAGTCAATATTCATTCTTTCCTCCACTCTTCCATGCTATCAAGGGCTTTCCTAAACGCAATTCCTGAGCTTGAAGTCAGGGACACAGAGTGGCAGCAGTGAGCAAACCTTTGGCGGAGCCCAGACCATTCAGCCCAATGTCCCTTCTCTGGGACACTTCTCTGGGTCAGCAGGAATCACATGATGACACTTGAACCTCTGCCCTGTGCTTGTCTGTTCTACCTGCAAACTCCAGGCCTGACAATACAAAGGTCATTTGGGGACAACCCCAGTTGACCATACTAGCTACGTGCCTGCGCTCACAACCCACTGGCTGCCAACCAATCCAGCAACCAGGAATGAAAGACCTGGACCTCACCGAAAGTTCTTGTAGGCATTGCTCCATAGTCAATGTCAGTGGCTCAGTCAGGTTTATTTGCTTTCCTCGTGGTCAGTTTTATTACAGGGATTCGTTAGGAGCTCAGCAGTCAGTTGTACTCTGGTTGGGGTGAAGGGGTAGTGAGTAAGAAGTCATAGTACACTGATAAACTAGACCCCTCCACAAACTGGAAGTCCCCGGCCTCAGCATTCTTGGAGAGTGTCTAGTATAGGGACCTACAGCCTGTAGGAATGCAGAATGGAGAAACTGGAACAGAAATGGCTGAAACTTGGATAGGATTGAAGTTTGCATTTGAAATATCTTTGAAGATATTTCTTCAAATGATAGGCAGCACTGTGCTTGTCCATCTAGCCAAAAGCAGGGGAAACCCAAACTGCTGAAAACATGTCTATCGATGAAGAGAATACAGGCTTCCAAAAACTCGGGACCCTCTGTCAAAACCTAGTCAACTGTACACAGTGAACAATCGCTTGCATCTATTTCTTTCTCTTTTTCAGACTTTTAGGGCAGTCTCCCTATGTTACCCTAGATGCCCCCAAACTCACTGTGGAGATCAGGTTGTTCTAGAACTCACTGGCTGTACTCCTGTCTCTGCCTCCTGAATACTGGAATTATAGGCAGGTGCCACTCTGCCTACCTTTATTTCCATTTCTTTACACATGGCTTTCTTTTCTTTCTTCCTTTCCCTGGTGTAGGAGGTCCTTCTGTTTATGTGTTGCTTTCATTGGTTGAATAAAGAAACTGCCTTGGCCTTTTTATAGGGCAGAACTTAGGTAGGGATGAAGAAGACAAACTGAATGCTGGGAAGAAGGGCAGAGTGAGAGATGCTATGGATCTCCTGCCTGAGACAGATGCTAGTTAGAATCTTGCTGGTAAGCCACAGTCACGTGGCAATACACAGATTAACAGAAATGGGTTAAAGATATAAGAATTAGCCAATAAGAAGTTAGAGCTAATGGGCCAGGCAGTGTTTAAATGAAACAGTTTCTGTGTGTGACTATTTCAGGTGTAAGCTAGCCAGGCAGCTGGGAGAACAAGCAGCCCGCTCCTCCTGTTATATTTTTCTGACTCCTAAATTTGGTCATGTGTATTTGTGTGCAGGAGTGGTAACAGGGTCTTTTTAGACTTGCCTCGAACTCCTGAACCTTCTGCTTCAGCCTCCTGAGTCTGCTGCCTCATCCTCCTGTAGGTTTTCAAGCAGATCTCTCATAAAGACTTAAGGTTATTTAAATTCCTTCTCCCTAATAGGGTTGGCTTTGGTGTTCTGGTTGCAATAAAGCCTGCCTCTTCCTTAATTCACATGGGCTCTGCCGCTAACTCCTGCCCTATTATTCTGAAATTGATGAGCCTGTTCCGTCGTCATGGAGAATCAGAGCGTTGGAAGGTGCTCTGAGGTCATGTAGCCTCTGGGCAGAGCTGTACTTAAAGCCATTTTAGATCCACGGCGGCTGATACTGTTATCCTGTACCCCTATCATCATCCCTATTAAGCGATGCCACCCTACACATATCATGCTTTATTTCTGCCAGGTTCCCTGACCCTCATTTAAGTTATGCCCTCCATGGTCCTCACAGGGTGACCCCCTGTTATCCCGCGAGGAGTCAAAGGCGCCACAAGGCCTTGATTGGCCGATGCTTCGGCAGCTACTCACTGCCGAAGTGGGAATGAAAGCTGCTCCATGTAGCTCACGTGAAAAAGTGCCCAGACTCTTTTCCTGGCTGAAACCGCCTGTTCACAGGCGCTTGAGAGGCAGTTTCTGCCTCTCCTGTGTGTAAGACTTGGGAGCCCGTGTCTTAGGTTCTGGAAGATGCCCCAGTTTCCGGAACTGCAGACGCCCCCTACTGTTGACATGGAAAACTCCAAGCAAGGTGAGGGAAAGAGCCTGGAGGAAGAGAAATGTAGGAGGATGCCTTGCTTGCCTGATGCCCTTGTTCCTGCAGAGTCGTGGCAGGTGCTGTCCTTAGACATCTGCTTCACTGTCCTCTCAGACCCAGACCAACACAGCACTGGGCAATTACTTCAGCGGAGCGGCGCGCTGGTATAGAAAATAGCAAAGCCAATTCTTGTGTGATTGTTAAATAGGCAGCACGCTGGGCACCATCCCTTTTCATCTACACACAAACCATGGAGGTCAATCATATTATACTCTTTCCAAACTGTGGGGAAAGAACTGAAATTGGAAAGATAGAAGTCACTTGCTTCAGTTCTCGTGGCCCATGTGCTGTCTGCCTCCAGATCTAGCTTCCCAACATGGTTCTGAACTGCCTCTCCCATGATCCCGGGAGCAATGCAGCAAGAGGTTTGGCTTCCCAGCCCAGGGCAGAGCATGGGCTACTGCTCTTGACATGCTCAAGTCCACAGTGTGTTCGAGGCAGGCACTTCAGGACTGGGCTAATGTCAACTGATTGAGATTATGGTAGCTATCCCAATGTCATGTCTGAGCCATTGGCACTCCCAATGTCACGTCTGAGCCATTGGCACTGTTTATAGTTTGAAGTCTTTGCTTTATTTAGGACAGAGCACTTATTTGCCTAAAAAGTCCGAAGCCTTAGATGGGCGTGTTGCATAATTCCTGGGAACTCTTTTGACATGTCTCTTGGCAGGACATCGAATCATGAATTTCATGATCTGAAAAGAGTGTCAAAGTCCAGTGCTTAAAGGAGTGAAAAGCTTCTTCCTCTTGAGGTTTTACTCATGCCCTGACAAACGACTGTCACAAGAGCACAAACCCAGGGCTAGGTAAATGCTGCGCAGTAAACATTGACAGGAACATCATGGTTTGGTCCTTGTCTCTCAGAATTTGCCATCAAGGACAGGGGTTGGTAAATGATAACCTCTGTTTTGTGAATAAAGCTTTATTGGAACAGAGCCATATTTATTCTTTTGCATTTTGCCTATGGCCACAGAGTTGAGTAGCATTGGCAGGGATCACAAGGGCTGTGAGGTCTAAAATATTGACTTATGGTCCTTTACGAAGAAAGTTTGTCGATAACAAACTTGACAGATCAGATGTATGCCTTCCTAAGTCATGGGGACAGAGGTTAAACCCTATTAAATATTCTTGATCACTGGTAAATGTTGTTGAGAATGCTGGTTGGGTTATTTATTACTCTTTTTCTTAGAATAAAGCTGTCGGAATAGATCTTTGGCAGATCACTCTTCTGCCTGGAAGCCCTGAGAGGCTAGCTTTCATCCCTGGAGTGACTGGCTGGACTATCACAACCACAGACCAACCGTTTCTCTGTGGACACCTTAGGAGACTCCAGGTGCAAGAAATTCTGAAGCCCAAGCTGCAGCTCCTGCGTCAGGAGGTCCTGCCGCAGTCATGACTACTCCAGACAGCCCGTCTCAGCGTTGGAAGGCAGCTGTCTAGGCAAGACTCCAGATGACCCCACAGCTCTGCTCAGTTACTCTGTTACTTGCCTAGTAACTCAGCAGTGACTGGTGCTATGCAGGACTTGCTGTTGGTCCCTCTGCGGGGCCCGTGATTGGTGGAATTGTAACTGTGCTTTCACTGATGCAAATACAATCCTCCTTTTGCATACCACACCCATGCCACGAACATCCCCCCCCCCCCCCCCCCCCCATTATGTAACCAGGCTATTGCGTTCACTTTCTGAACCAGCTAGACAGTAACTCTCACGTGGTACCCTCCAGTGGGGTAACATTAAGCCCTGCAAAAACTTTTTCAGGATGGTCTTCCCTTGCCTGCTTGAGACTTCTGTTATGAGGAGAGTCACCTAAGCTGGTGATACAAAGAGGAGGTGGGGCTGGAGTCAGCAGAGGAGGCAGCAGCAGCTATCTGGATGGTGCAGCAGCCTTGGTAGCCAGGAGATGGCCGCTGAAGGGCAGAGAGCCAAGCAGAAGGAATTGAGATACTGAAACCAGGTGAGGAGAAACAGGAAGTCAAAGCTGCGGAAAGCTCCGAGGAGCTGAGGACAAGAAGCTGCAGCTTCAGGCCCACTGAAGGACTTCAGGGAGCTGCCAAGACCTAAGAGCCATAAGAGTCAACGGTCAAGACACCCAAAGTATGGGAATTGTAATGGCTCCACTTTTAGGAGCTAAGGGTCTTTATATACAACAAACCTTCTGAGTCTACAAAGAGGAATGGGCGCCTGAAAGAGGACCCAGAGCAGCCAGTCTCTCTGCCTTGTGGCATCCAGTTCAGAACCCTGAGTCACAAGTTTCTGCTCCAGCCCATGTATGAGCCCTTAACATTAGAGAGCCCAGAACCACTGACTCTAATTCAATCAGGCTTTGTGTATTTGCAATTCCCACCTGAATAGTGCCAAAGATGCTCCAGCCAGATGATTGCTCAAACTCGAGTCATCTTGACTAAGGCTGGGCGGGAGATATGGCTCAGTGGGTAGAGAGCTTACTTAACATACACAAAGCTCTGGGTTTGATCCCTAGCGTGACACAACTAGAGTGTGGTGGTGCCCTCCTGTGAGACCAGCGCCTTGGAAGTACAGGAAAATCATGAGTTCAAGGCCATTGTAGATACTAGGGATTTCAATGCTATCCTGAGATATATGAGACTTTTTCTAAAAGAAAGTAAGTACATGTGATTATTCCCAAACTGGTCGATCATGATGGATTCTTCATTATAGAAATAAAGTCACCATTACCATTTACTGGGTGTTTACTACTTACCAGATAGTGATCCACACACTGTCCATGCATTAATGCAGTTTCTATCATGACCATGCCTGTGGCAACCAGTATGTTCTCTACATCTTATTTAGTTTTATTGATTTGGGATGCTGGAAATTGATCCCAAGGCCTCACAGACGCTCTACAAGTGTGCTACGCCCCCACTTGCCTATATCCCCATTTTGTAGCTAACGTCTGGTTGGGTAAGCTGAGCGCCACAGCCCTGGTAACCTGGTTTGTGCTCTTCTCTGCTACTCTGAGCTGGAAAAGACAGCAGGGTGTGGGCTGTGCAGAGAGAGGGGAGGGAAATCCACCCAGGAAGTGACCAGGCAGTGTGGGCCTAGCGTCTGCTGGGCCTATTTCTAGCATTAAGAAAATCCTGGAGGTTGGATCTCTCATGAGGAGAGGATGGAGCTGCTACACGTGGTGCTTTGGGTCTCCCTGAAATGAAAGAGCTTCTCAGATGCAGATGCATCCAGTGTAGCCATTGATAGTGAGCAGTGGAAGATTCTTTGGAACTCAGTGGGGGTGACAAGAAAAAGCATGGGTTCACTTTGTCAGATAGAACTGGCATGAACAAAGCCCCTCCTTGGTGCTGATTCCCACACCATTTCTTGGAGATTTCCAAGTTCCTAAAAGGATATATTTCTTTCTGTCTACACCACCCCTCACCCTACATCCTCCTTTCAACCCCACATCTAGCATGCTATCTCCCCTACCCTAAGTTCTTTATAGGAAACTGGAGACCTTTCATGGGACCCTTGGTTGTATCTGCATATGTTAGATGTTTCTTGGGTGCTGATTGACTAGTCCATCCACCTTGATTTCTTTTTGTGGGGTGGGGGTTTGTGGAGCGGGGGATATGGTCTCTCAATGACCTGGAGTTCTTCAAGTAGGCAAGGCTGGTTGGCCATCGAACTCAGGGACCCACCTTGCTCCTCCCCTCCCCTTGCTTTCATATTTATTACAAGCTCAAAACGCCTAGATTTTATAGATATATACGGGGTGATCCAACCCAATCCCTCATGCTTGTAAGGCAAGAACTTTACAAACTGAATTATCTCCCCTGCCTTCTCTTGGGACTCTTGGTACCTACGTTTTTGTTTGCTTGTTTGTTGAGACAGGGTTTCTCTGTCCTGGAACTAGCCCTTGTAGACCAGGCTGGCATTGAACTCACAGAGATCCACCTGCATCTATCTACCTCACAGTGTTGGGATTAAAGGCGTGCACCACCACCGCCCGGCCCTTGGTACATCATGTTAAGACCAGGAAACGGTAGCTGAGTAAATCTCATTGCTCAGCAAGTTGGTGGTTTACTACACTCAAAAGCAAGGAGATAAAAGCACAGAAAGCTTTGCAACTACCACGAAGACAGAAGCCCAGGTCACGGACTCTCTTATGGACCTGTCGTTAGCTTAGAACCATCTGGGAAGATTGGCTTGCACTATGGCTGTCCACGTAGCGCCTTTGGTTCCATCTAAAGGAAGTCGTAGCCCTGCATTTTGCCATAAGATTGTGCTAAGGTTCTTCTCTGCACCTCCCATGTACCTGGTCAGCTGGGAAATGACACATGGTGATGGATGATACGGGAACTCAAAGTCATGCATGGAGGCTGCCTGCCTGTGGGAGTCGGCATTACTGAAGGCTTCTCTGACCATGGCTTTCTGTATCTACCATTCCTTGTAACCAAAGCCCTGCACTACAGGTATATGAGCACCACGAGTTTTCTGTCATATACTGCTTGTTCCAGAGGTCAGCCTGAGCCGTTGCTGCAACCTTGACAAAACATTTGCCTAAGAAACGAATGTTCAGAGCCTCTGATTGTGGCATGGGCACAAGCTACTCACCCTGTACCATGCTGTACGCACCGCAACTCCTGCCACCCTGGAAAATCTTTGGGAGGCCTAGAGTTTTCATCCAGAAGCACTCAGCGTGGTAATTGTGGAATACCTAAATAGCCTGCCTCTATAGAATTAGCTAGACAGACAGGACTGGAGAACTTCGGAGCTAATTATGCCTCCCGTAAAATGAAGCTTTGCTCCAAGGAGGGAGAGTGCCAGGTGTAGGGTTTTTTTTTTTTCCTTCATGCCTTGTCTGTCTCATGCCAAGACACATTCCAAGCTGCCCCTTTGTTCAAGTTTCTCTTTCATGGAAACGGCTTTGTTCTCTCGCAGCTCACTAGTAACTTTCACATGAAAGTACAGAGTTAAGGAGAGAGATGGTTCTTCAGTTAAGAACACACACTGCTTTTGCGGAGGACTGGAGTTTTGTTCCTAGCACCCACCTTGGGCAGCTTATAACGCCCGCAACTCTAGCTGCAGCAGACCCAACACTCTCTTCCACCCGCTAGGTCACCTGCATTCACATACAAACACCCACTTAAAAATAAAATTATAAACACACATATGTATATATGCATACATATGTATGTGTATATAGATATATAGAGAAATTTATTTCATATCCCCCAAGGTTTTATTCGGAGCTTGGAGATATATAAAGGTATTTACAAAGAAGTTTTCAAAAAGCACGATGGTTTTGTCATCTGTCTTTGGTCTTCTCCCTAATTTTTTCGATACAGGGTCTCACAAAATACTATGTAGCCTAAGCTAGACTTGAACTCCAGACTCTCGTGCCTCAGCTTCCTGAGTGCTGGGATTAGAGGCGTGAATATTATATCTGACTTCCTTTTTTTTTTTAATTTAGTGCTCAAAATCAGCAAACAGATAGAATGATTCTGTTTTCTAGTTTGAATGCATGCCAAATTGATTTAAAGTTACCGTACCACTGAAAGGGCTATCTAATTAAGTCTTACAGATCTCTGGCTATTGTGTAGCGCTGTTTCAGATTTCTACTACCTTGTTAGGGTTTGCTGGGGTTTTTTGTTTGTTCGTTTTTGTTTTTAGAAACCAAGGCACCAGTGAACAAGAAGGCAGAAGGAAGGGAAGGAGAAAAGAATTCGAAGATGAATTAAATGCCATTTATGTAGTATCTTTAGCATTAGGCACTTCCGGGCTGGGGTGACAGCTCGGTGGCTAACACTTGCTGTGAAAACATGACAATTCAAATTTGAAACCCAAGCACTGAAACAAAAACCCAGGCATGACTATGTGAGTCTGTAACCCCAGCACTAGGGCATGGAGAAGGCTGGATCCCAGGAATTTGTTGGCTAGCCAACTTGCTGAGTGGCTTGCTTCCAGTTCAGTGAGTGGCCCTGTCTCAAGGCAATAAGGTAGAGAGCTATAGAGCAAGAAGCTGACATCCTATTCTGACCTTTTTATGCGCAGGCATAGATACACACACACACACACACACACACACACACACACACACACACACATACACACGGGATTCCATATGTTGAGTGTGAAGTGAGTCAGGGGATCAAAGTACAGAAACATACACCTGCAGTTTTAGCAATTAGGAGTCTGAGTCAGTAGGCTATAGAGTGAATTCAGGTCAGCCTGCACTACAGACTGAGACCTTGTCCCAAAACACACACACACACACACACACACACACACACACACACACACACACAAAACCCAAAAGGAGAAGAAAGGGAGGGAGGAGGAAGAAAGGAAGAAACGAAGGAAGAAATAGAGGTATTCACATGTTTAAGTACAACACAAAGAACTGGCTTCAGAGGGGGAACAGGGTGGGCCAGATGGAAAGGGACCTTCCAGAAGCTGTGGGCTGAGTTCACCATAACTTTACAGAAGGGCTCCTTTCTTAGCATGTGTGTCCTGCCATTACAGTTTAAATATGAAAACATCCTTTGCACCATGTGTTCAAGATTTTATTGCCAGCTGAGGGCTAGTGACAGGTGATTGACTCCAGCTGAGGGCTAGTGACAGGTGATTGGCTCCAACCGAGGGCTAGTGACAGGTGATTGGCTCCAACCGAGGGCTAGTGACAGGTGATTGGCTCCTGCAAACTTTAACTTCTTCAACTCGCACACTGGTGAGCTCATAGCTGGATAGATTATCCGGATGTGAGGTCCATTTGTAGGAAGCTGGTTCCTGGAGGTGGGATGTTGAAGGTTGAAGGGTCTTGTCCTGCCTCTAGCCTCTCTCTCTCTCTCTCTCTCTCTCTCTCTCTCTCTCTCTCTCTCTCTCCCTCCACTTCCTGTTGCTCTCATTGAACAGCTCCAAGACTTTCAATCTCAATTCGGGCCCTAAAGCAGTGCATCAGCAGGCTATGGGTGAAAAGGAAGAGTGGGCTGAAACTTCTTCCTTTAACTTGTTGCCTTGGGTATTTGGTCACATCAACAAAAAGGTTGACTACAACCTAACTACTGATTATCTTCTGAGGTCACGTGGATTGGGGAAGGAGAATATCCAGAAACCCTTAAGTTGGCCCCACACAGAAACAGTGACCCTCAGGGTGACCGTGTCAACCTTAGAAAAGGTACTAGCACTTAGAGGTGCTATTGTCAGCAGAGGGAATGTCAGAAACACACAGAAGTGATCCGTTTTTGCTACTGCCCTGAGTGAAAAACATGCCCAGTGCCCAGGTCTGAGTTGAGTACTGGCCACCCGCACAGTTCATTGATGTTAAGTACCAAGCATCAGCACTCACAGAGAGGTTGGAAAACGGTTGAAATTCCCAAGTTGTGCAGACTAGGGGTGAGGACCGTAACAAAGCAATCCTGTCATTACTCCCAAAAATTTTCAGCCCTTTCTGGGAAACAACATGCTTCAGCCCATATCGTGGATACAATTAAGTCAAATTTATGTAAATATAATTCTCTCTAAAACATACCCAAAGGAGTTATTATTTAAAGGCAAAACTTCACAGTTATTAAAAGGACTAATTTTCTTTCATCACAATTGTTCAATAGAAAATCTTTCTTGAGTATCAGCTTTCTCTAGTTGCTGGGAGAATTCAAGATGCTTATGAGTTTCTCGATGTCCGGTACATGCGTTTGTGGGTGTCTCAACTATTTTCATCCCTCTTTCCAGCTTCTCCCCTCAATATG